GGGATGAGTTAGAAAGAGATGTTTGGTTCTTTTCTGAATTTTCTTTTCAACCATAGTCACAAAAGCAAGGTTGGAAATTTAAATAATTGATGATTATTATAATGAGACAACCATTTGACGAAAGAGTTGGAATGGCTGAAAAATTTACTCTTATAAAATAATTATCCATTGAGCCTAATTTTTAAGAATATCTCATTACTGAGGAATACATTTTCAGACAGAGACTATCCACTCAAGGATGGACAAGAGGAGACCCTATCTAATGTTCTATTTTTGCCGTCATGCCTTCTTTCAAAAAGGATAGACGAACTAGTGAAAAAGTAGGGCATAAAAACTGTGCCATCTTTTAGAGAGAAATATGAGCCATTATCGACATTCGGCTGCTACAAGATTGCGTCCTGCGATCGGCCTTAGGTTGGTGTGACATGTACTACCATCAGGTTGCCAAAGAGTTGTTGAGTCTTCTTACATTCTCGTCATTTCGTAGATATTTCCACTGCATCCATGTTGTCCACGGTTTCGTTTTCTCTGTCCATCGAGTCTAATGCTACTCTCCTTCAGTATTCAACAGCGCTTGCATTGACCAATTCGGCCAGACTGACCGGCTGCAGCCTGTCGCATGTCCGTCCTGGGCCCAACGGACAAGCAGTGCTCAGCACAAACGTCAGGCTGACCCCTTTGCACGACGCCCTGTCCACCAGCCAGATCGACGACCTGCTCACCAAACAGTTGACCGTGGCTGAAATCCAGGGCGCCAAAGGGTTTGGTGTCAAGGGTCCGGGTCCGATTGATGTTCAGGTGTTCGGTAAGTCGGTGAGGCCGACTAGAAAGAGCACAATCAGTAGCGGTTGCTGGTGTCGTCTGATTAGCTTTTTGATAGTAGAAGTGCTATACGGTCGTGTGGTATGAGGGAATGTACCAAATTGTTAATTGGATCGTTGTAAAATGATACAGATGATTATAATGAAGGTAGAAAACGATTCTCTTTTGGATTTGTGAACGGTTTCGGCAGATTAGTATGATGAGAAAGCATATTTTTCGTTGGGATTATCAACCCCTTTGTAGGTCCTGACGTGATAGATCCAAAGACGATCACAGTGCTCCCAATTTCGGCAACTACCGGCTACGTCTCTTTTAACGGAAGCCGACCGAAATGCGACCGCAACTACACGGTGCTTTGGAAGAAACCCGAGGATACCATTCCGAGGGGCTCAAAATCCATCACCTGCAACCGAGGTAACTCAGGCCTTCATTGCTTTATTTCAGTCGAGATTTTTTCAGACTTTAGCCTAAGATTTTTTCACAAAGTTTCTCTATTCTGCACTATATTTAAGCCAACGAGTGGTTATCCATGAATACATCGTCATAAAAGCTTTGGTGTTTACGATGCAGGCGGAATTTTCGATTTCAGGGGACCGGACTTCCTACCTTCGATGCTCTAAGTGGGCTTCCAACTTTTGTTGTTAGGCTTTGGAGGCAAACGCAATTGCATGACCATACTGGCCCCAAGAGCAGCTGGAGTCAAGGCAATCCGTCTACATGAGACGAGTCGACGCAGCATGAAACCGACCAGAGAGTCGGGCACGCACAGGACGTGTGGTAGGTGGTGTGATCTCCACCTTTGCACTCACACAGCCCAGACGTAAAGCCTGGCGAGAGCTCAGATGATGCATGGGTGAGGTCACGGCTGCAAAACCCTTATGGAGCTGGCACTATTCAGTCCTACCACAGCATGATTGTTTTGTATTTCTTTTCGTTTGTAAGTAGAGTTTCGCGACTACCGGTAAATCAGTAATATGAAATGTATTCACATTATTTCGTTTAAGGTGATGAAGGACTGGTAGTCGAATTTTCCCACAATCATATGAGTAAAGCTGAAGTTTTCATTGAATTTCACATTGCCACGGGTGCCCTTGGGTGACAGGGCAGATGTGAATTTCAACAAAGTCTATGCCTTTTTCCCATATCTCATGTATTTTTGCTATAACAATCGACTACATTACTTATTTTTCGTATTAAGTAGAGCCTCGAGACTACCAGTATATCAGTAGTATGAGATGTATTCACCCTATTTCTTTTAAAGTTATGTAGTCGATTGTTATAACAAAAATATGTTTGCTTCATCGACAATCCCACCAAAGAATGTGAAATGGGAAAAGGCCTGACCTTCCGTGAAATTCACGTCGGTCCTGTCATCGAAAGGAACTCATCACAATGTGACCGAGTTGTTAACGTGTCAAGCTCCCATTCTGCACTGTCAAGGTTCGACTCCCATTGGGGGTGCTGATAAGACCGGTTCGAGGTCGAAACTGCAGTCCACTGGTGCCTGGATGAGAACAACTTTTGGTAAAGTAAGCATATGCTCTATTCATATCATTATGGCAAAATTATACTACCATCATCACTTTAAACGAAATAGGGTGAATACATTTCATATGTTTCTATTTCTGCCGCAAATTCCTTTACGTATAAAAATCGACGGTTATAGTCTCAACGATACATCTTCCGACAGAGCCAAGCAGTTTTATGTTCAATAAGACAAGTCTACAGTAAGGCACCCAAATGTAGGCCATCGCAGTTGATACAAAACAATCCAGATGCAAATATAATTCTTGAGTAAATGTCTATTTAGAGTATGTAGAGAAACTATGAAACATTTAATTATCTTAATGTTTAGTGGCAGTTAAGTACATTCAACCAAATAGCTACTTTGCTATTCAATTTGTTCTTCCTGATTTGCCGGCCTCCTTTCAATTATATTTTCCCCATTCTCTCTTTAACCTTCTATAGCTCTACTTAGCACAAGGTATTCAGATGACTGTCTATATCCCATTGCAATGGTTCCTGCTTACCCTCTTAACGTTTCATGCTGAATCTATTCAACAGTAATCAAGAGAGAGGTTGTTTGACCTTGTTATCATTTGCAGAGTAGGACCGTGGAGGTGGTACATTCCCAGACGTTTCGCCGGCATCGTCAGTGAGTCTCGCCATTCCTAGCACCAAATGACAACTCGTCACAGAGACAAGTGAAACCGATCCTTTGACCAGTTGTGCTGAACAGTTGTGGTATCTCTCCCACATTGCTCTCACATTTCCTATATCCTCCTATCACGCCTTCACTGTTACAATTTGTACCGTTCCTATTTCGCTGTAGTGTGGTGTGCTCCTACATCCAAATAAACACGTTAAAATAATTGTAACAGTGTAGGCGTGATACGAGGATATAGGATTAGTGATTAGCCCTGGGCAGAAGGAGAGATACCACAACTGTTTAGTACACATTTGGTCAAAGGATCGGCTTTACTTGTCTTTGCGACGAGTTGTTGTGTGGTGCTAAGAATGGCGAGACTCACTGACAATGCCGACTTCGATCCCAGCGATACGTCTGGGGATGTACCACGTCCACGGTTCTACTTTGGAAATGATCATGCATACATTGGACTCTGGACCAGGTCTATTCCTCTAGGTCTTCTGAGAAACATGACCGATTTGCGAAAACAAGGTGAAACAACTTTTAACTGCAAGGCTTTTTGATTTCGAAGAGATTGTCAGTCAAAAAGGCCAATTTAGAGCGGAGCCAATTGCCTGCAAATTGAAGCAATTATCCAAACTTTCCTTTTCTCCTTTAGAGACTCTACTGACGGGCCTCGATCCCAACAGCCAGTACCAGTTCTCCGTCATGACATCCAAGCCGGACGAAAAAGCCGGTCTCCAATCGGACTGGTCCTCTGCCCAAGTAGCCACAAAGTCAGGTTGGTGTCTGGCAACCGCTCTCTTCCAGTTTGGGGGGTATTTGTAATGTACCCCTTGTTCAGTATTTCTCACTTGAGATCCTTCGACTGCATTTTTTCGGCAAAGGCGCAATCATGCTGCTCTTGGGCAAGGAGAACTCCGTATCGATATCACAATTGGAGCTTCAGCAATAGCAGAAAAGCCGTTGCTGGGTCAAATGTCTACCAACTCATTTCATATTGGCTTTTCACTAGTGTTAATATTTTTGTCAGTGAAGAATAATGAGGGTTAGGTCATTTTCATGGTCTTAGTTGGCTTTAATCGAGACACTCTTGTGTAAGAATCTCTAGCGAAAGTACTAAACCTGTTGTCGCTGTTTGCGGGAGCGACGCTCAAGAAGGTGGAAACCAAGTGAAATAATTATAAATGAGCTTAAATTCTTCTCAAAGTTGAGGGCCCTGAAAAACATTTCTCTTCTCTATTCAAATGAGCCGAGTAACATTGTCAGCAATCCCCTTTTCAAACTTCTCGGATAATGCATAAGAGTGAAAGGAGCAAGGGAAAGTTGCCAACTTCTGCCCCCAAGCTTCGCCGCATAGTCATTCGCCAGAAGGGGGCCATGCAGGATCCAAATGCAAGAGGAGACTATTTCAAAAGAAATCACATGTCCTCAATTTTTAGTTTTATCACAACTACTTGCTGAATATCGGAATATTGGGGAGCTTGATCATCAGCAGCTCAATCCTAGCGAACATGGGATTAAGAAAAGAAGATGTGAATATACTAAATCGGATTTTTTTAGCAACGGATACTTCAGAGAAGTTATGCAAAGTAGTATATTGGAGAAACATGAATAAAAGTCAACCTACGAATCCAGCAGCATCACAGACTCTGCAGAAACATTTATAAGGAAAGTTCCGAAATGGGAGGACACATTCGACTGGTGAGACACGAGATCGGCAGGAAAGCAACGGAAAGACTGGTAGCATATGGTGAAAATAAAAAAAAGTTCAATTAAATATATGAAGACCAGGATGTTGTGGTCTCTTTTATGGTCGCAGTCTCCTTTCGATTTATAGAATTGGGTTGACCTTGTTGTCACAACTTGGTCTTGTTGTCAGGACGACTATGTAGAACGTATCTAGTCCGAAGTCGTCTGCCATCGTAGTTGTCATGACTCCCAGCATCAGACAGTGGACTTGGTACATTCACAGACGTTTCGCCGGCTTCGTAGTCGGCATCATCAGTGAGTGCTGCCAGTCTCCGCACCAAGCTAAGAACTCCGTCGGATTACAACTTCTCACTTGTTTACATTCCACTCGTCATAATGTGTGAAAAGTTGTGATACGAGTGACTTCACTTGTCTTTTTGACGAATTCGTAGCTTGGTACGGAGAATGACAAAACTCACTCACGACGCCGACTACAATGCCGTCGAAACGTTTGAGAATGTACCAAATTCACTGTCTGATGCTGGGAATCATGACAACTACTAGGACAGACGACTTCAGACTAGGTGCGTTCTACATAGTCCCCATGACAACAAGACCAAGTTGCGAAAACGAAGTCAACCCAATTCAAAAAAAGTTCAGGTGTAGTGAGGTGGATGCTATTCTGACTGAACGAAATCGAATAACAGAAGACTGGGAGAGGTTAGAATTGGCGGAAACTGTGTGCAGTACTTAGGCCATCTCGGAAGAGACCAACAATCAACCAGATCAACAAAAAGGAGACTACTGGATCCAGGAATTACTTTGCAATGGAATAAAATGAATATCATGCAAGAGGCATTTTAAGGGCCGTCATCAATAAACAAAAGACGCTCCAGTGTGCCAAGTCTAAACGTTTTAGTGACTACCACATTTGGGGGTCGGTCCACAAGGTACTTGGTGATAGGAAAACCGTCAACTTGGAATTAGGGATGGAAACGAGAAGCCAATTGGACCGAAAATCTCCTTCAGAGATGTGGAGAGACTCCGAAACTACCTGAACCAAGTGCATTGCAGACTGTTGAATTAACACTTTCAGCGCTTTGGGGATGAGGGAGCCAGTGAAAAATGTGAAGAGGCCCAAACGAAATCTGCTCAGAAGGACAAACCTCTCGAGTGGACTCAAATGAGCAAGTGAGAAGTTGTAATTGCGAAGGTCAGTTGAATGTACCAGGACAAAAGTTGGCCAAGGGAGAGATTTCAATCGTCTCTTTTACGAGTTTTAGAATGGTGCTAAGAATCGAAGGAATCACTGATGATGCCGATAATGATGCAGACGAAACTTCTGGAAATGTACCAATCCCGCGGTTTGCGGCTGGAAATTATCTTGGATACTATGGACATAATGACAGAGGACTCGAGAGAAAATGCGTACTCCTAAGTTGGTCTGATAATATGACCAAATTGTTGGTTGGATGTTAAAGCAAGTTGAGATAGTTTCATACTTTTGCTCAACCAGTGTGAAAGAAACATTAGATTCACAATGGAAATGAAAAAGAATAATTCCTTACCCCTTCTGGATGTTCTCAGTATTAGAAAAAATGGCAAATTAGGTAGAGATGTTTACAGGAAACCAACACATGTTGGCTCCTTGTTAAATCTTCTTTCTAATCATAGTTACAAAATTAAGATTGGAATTTTAAAATCAATGATTATTAGAAGTATGAGGCTAGAGGATAAGAAACATTTGATTAAAGAATTGGAACAACGAGTAAATTTACTCTTAGAGAATAATTATACTTTGGGTCTTATTGAGAATAATATTACTTTATCGAAAAATAAATTTTCTGACGAATAACAACTACTCAAAAATATACAAGCAAAGACCTTTCTCCGTGTCCTAATTTTTCCGTCATGTCTTCTCTCAAAAAAGATAGACGAAATAGTAATAAAGTCGGGGTTAAAAACAGTGTTCAAAGAAACCATCACACTTTATTCTTTTTTGCCATCTTTTAGAGAGAAATATGACCCGTTATCGAGATCCGGCTGCTACAAGATGTTTCGTTCATGTGGTCGATGTTATGTTGGTGAGACATGCCGATCTATTCCACAAAAACGCTTGCAAAAGAAGTTGGATCCAACTGTCAGAAGTGGCCGAAAACATGGTAGATACTGGGCCTGAAATAGAAATGGTCTCAAACCAGTAGGTTTGCTGATTGTGGTACGTTTGTGGTTACAAGAGAGATAAGAGAGGCTATTGAAATTGATAGATTAGGGAACACGTTGAATGTGAACAACGATGGTATAAAGTTGAGTAGGAACTACTTATGCTTGATTGATAGATTGAACTACCATACAAAAAGATGACCAAAATAACTAACAACACCATTCTATATCGATCTATCCTTTTAAATTCTCCTTTGCTTAAATTAGACTATATAAGAGGCAAGATAGAGCCGGATAGCATTCTTGTCTTAGTGTTAACTTGAGCATTTTACAAGAATGAGTCCCAGCTCTGATGATGTCCACGGGATGATGGGCGAAAGCTCAGCTCGCTTGCACCAGAAACGAGGGAGTGGGTCTCGTGAACTACGTAAATCTCAACGTCGTATAAAAACCAGTCAGCTAAAATACAACGTGATTCAACCGTTCTCTTCTGGCGAAATTAATCTACGAATATCTTCTTCATACGCTTTCATACAAAATGAAAGTACCAATAATACGACCAATTTTTTCACGTCGTCAATGGAGAAAGCCAATTGCCACCGGGAAAATCTGACCGCCATCTTGAAAGATTTGTCGACTTGACTGATGAGGATTGTTCACTTCGCCTGCATTAAATTCTGGCCACATCCCGTCAATAAAGGACTAACGCATTCTCTTGCTGTACCCTTTATTTAGTCTGAAAAGACAGTTGGATGGGATTTATAAATGAATAGCACCGAAAACCAGAGGACAATTGATTCGGAGCTGACTGGCATGGATTTTTGCTAATGGGACCGCGGGTCACAAACCCACAGTCACGGCTCAAATAAAATCCACATTCAGTTTCCGGTGTGCTCAAGTTAGGAATTCTTAACACTCTTCTTTTCAAACGAAATGAACGATAAAACGACATAGTTTACTGGTAACCTGGCCTCCTTTCACCATCCAGTTAGAATGCGCGCTTGAGCCAACTCCTTCTCAACCTCTTATCCCATAATTATTGCTTTCAGATTCTTGCCTGGGGCTGGCGTGCTATCACAATGCCTCATGCTCGAGCCTTTCTGCCACGGGAGCGTGTGTCTGCCGGGGTACTTACACTGGACCCTTCTGTGAAACAAGTAAGTCATAGACCGACCCGGTAAGACCGATTAAAAGAGGAGTCAAGGAAACTAACTATTATCAAGTTAGGAGGCATAATTACCTCTCGTTTTGTAATAGAAGAGAATTTGCTAAAGATGGAGGGAATTGTAAATTAGTTTGTCGACAGAAACCTAAATCACTCTCTTGTACACCATCTTTAAGCGTTCAGATAAGGTGCTCCCAGTTCACTCTACATGTTTGAAAATGACCAAACCAATTAGTGGATCATAGAGGCGCACTGTATTGACGTACTAAGTCATGTGATGAAGAGATTTGTAAGTCGATTGAGAGCTTTGGTCGCCCTAAGAAATCTTAAAGGATGTAGAGACTGATAGTTCAATCCTCCAAAATGAATGACTACAAAGTCCCGTGATGCCCGTGCTTTATTTTCCGGACTGGGCTGGCATTTGTATCTCGCCTGGGTGTGGTTAGCCCTCTCAATAGGATCCAGCACCCGAGCTTGTGCTACAAGCTACAAGCTACAAGGCCACAAAGGCCAAATTCAAGTGTCTATTTAAGTTCTTATTCAAGATAAAGGGACAGTTCAGAGAGCTACTCTTTCCTTCTTTGTTGATTAGTCTCACTTTAAGACGAAGACGGCTGTCCGACGGTCTGCTGCCGTTCATTCTGACGGAAACTCCACTCATACATCTCTTCGTCAAACTTATTCACACGAAATGAATGTCAACACGATGATGATGCATCTAAAGATTCAACATAACCAGTCACTGGTGGGGGTCTGATCTTCTGTTTGGTCGCGGTCTCTATTAGTTGTGTAGTGTAGGTTTGCAAAAACGAAGTAAAACCTACAATAATATGAGATGTATCACCCTGTTTCGTTTTAGGTGATGAAGGATTGGTAGTAGAATTTTCTCAAAATGATATGAGAAGAGCTGACGTTTCCATTCAATTTCCCAAAGCCTTGCTTTTCCTAAAGTTGTTGTGATCCCGGATGGAGTGGACTGCAGTTTCGACCTCGCATAGGTCTTATCAGCACCCACAACCGGAGTCGAACAAAGAGGTAATGTAAAGCCGAAGGTATGAAGCTTAAATGGTATGGCCTTTTGTGTGGTCGCAGTCTCCTTTCGTTGTATTGAAGTTGTTTGACTTTGTTTTCGTAACTTTTTCATGTTGGTAGGAAGACTTAAAGGAACGCACCTAGTCCGGAGTCTATTGTCTGTATGATCATTTCCAAAATTGAACCGTGAACGTGGTACATTCTTAAACGTTTCGTCGGCATGCGAATTACTAAGAAAGTGGGACATAAAAATAGTGTTTAAAGAAACCCTTACACTTTCTTGTGTTATGCTATCTTTTAGAGAGAAACATGACCCGTTATCGAGATCCGGCTGATACAAGATTGCTTGCTCATGTGGCCGATGTCATGTCGGTGAGACTTGCCGACCTATTCTACAAAGATTGGTAGAAGATAAAAATGCTTGCAAAGGTAGCTGGATCCAACGGTCAGAAGTGGCCGAACACATGGTAGAAA